CTCTTCGGCATTCTGTTGCGGGCGAGAGTTGCGTGTCCGGGTGACGGATGGAGAACAATCGCAGGATCAGCAAACATAGTCGCCCTGGGCCCTCAACCCCAAAGGCTCCATGTACCTTTATAGTAGATACTTAAGCCCCAAAGTAGTCCCTATATAGGTACTTTAAGGCCTAAGTATATACCATATGGGCATATGGAGCCTTAGGGAACCCTACTTAATTTGAGTTATAGGGGTGCGAATAAGATCTCCAGACTCTGAAAGCATTTTGAATTTTGAGAACAGACAGTCTCTTAGCACGTCTAATGGGAGCATGACCGTTGGGGAAAATCGCATGTTACTTTTGGATCATTCAAGATGTCTGCCGTGGGGCTCCTGTAAGACCCCAACGCCCTGCAGCCCTGAATCGCTTAAACCCACATTCCTAAACCCTGAAGCTCTAAGACCCAAAACCCTTCAGTCCCAAAAGTTCATGTAATGGCATGTGGGAGTTCCCGACAATTCGTGGTACCTTAGTTTGGGGTCCTTATACCGAGGATCCTACTATTTAGGGTACTGTGCCAGAGGTCATTTCCGGAAATTTTCATGTAGGGTCCATCTGTCAGAGCTTGGGATTCCCTAGACCCCAAACCTTACACCCTAGAGAAGGCCCCCCCCCACCCTGTAATAGTGGCATAATAGGAATATAACAGGACCCTTATATAATCCTTATAGTCACCCATTACAGGGTGGGGGGGGGGGGGCTTCTGAGGTTTAGGGGTTTAGGGTTTAGGGGTTTTAAGGATCCTTATTACACCCAAATAAAGAATAGTAGGATCCTTATACACCCCAAAAAAGGTACCCTACACTCCCAAGAAATGGTACCCCTACAATAGAAGCCCTAAGCCCTAACTTCTAAGGTTTAGTAAGGTTCTTCAACTCTGAACCCTAAACCCTAGAAGCCCTAAACCCCAAATTATAGATCCCTTACAGTAGCCCTTATAGACCCCTTCAAAAAGAAACCCTAACAGTTTCTAAGGTATAGGGTTCTTCAACTCTGAACCCTGTCCCGTGAGCCTTGCCGACTCCTCGTGCACGGGTACAGGTTCGAGCCTCAACATGAAAATTGGAAAAAAAGGGCTTAGGGTTCCTTTAAAGGGGTCTATAAGGGTTACTATAAGGGATCCATAATTTGGGGTTTAAGGGTTTAGGGTTTAAGGGTTTAGGGCTCAGGTTTTAGGGTTTAGGGCTTAGGGTTTAGAAGGGCTTTCAAAATTGGAATGGTGAATGAATAGTGTCTTGGGGGGGGTATATGGGTAGTTGTCAAAATTATGATCCCTTTTTGGGTACCCTAAATATTAGGTGCCGTACTATAATAGGGACCCAAAAAGGGACCATAATTTTGACAACCACCCATATAAGGTTCAGGGCTATGCTGGCCGTTGTCATGTGGTCCGCGTGCAGCGGCAAGTACCGGAGCCCCTGTAGCAACTCGACATCTGCAAGCACTTCTGAGAGCTTAATAGGTCGAAACGGAAGTACGGCTCCATGAAGATATGCAATGAGCAGCAACAATGACTTCTCCGTGTCCTCATCAAGCTTGGCTGACATCCCCTTGCCAAGATCCCAACTGACAAGAGTGTTCCAAAGATGAATCAGGTTTTTTGGTATGAATGTGTCCCAGGCCAAATCAGGATAGCAAACTCCACTTGTCCGTCCTCGAACACAGGCTGTCTCGAAGGCACGCAAATCTCCAAAAAAGGAGACACGGTATAGAAGATTGGCTGGATGGTAGAATCGCGTGGAAAGGACCGGAGTACCGTCCTCAAGCTCGCCTCTAGGGCGCATCACGGGTGGGAGTCGTCAGGGTTTGTAGGGTCTCACGTTTGAGTGTACCTAAGGCATCTACTGTAGTTCCTTTTTTAAAAGTCCACGACAAAGGAGCGACAACGGAGACTATAGGAAAGAGCTTGAATAATTGGAATAGGGTTCCTGGAAGGCATGTATACGGGGTCTGCAAAAGGGGCTATATGGGGTTGTTCTAGGCTTTGTAATAGAAGGGCTTCAATAATTGGGAATAGGGTAGGGGGTTACCTCGTACCTTTCTTTTCAACGAATCCGAAGGATAAATCCTAGTAGCTATTCAGGCTTCTATCTTTCTACATACAAACATACATGTATACATATATTCAAAGTTACATGTACTCTGAACCTTGGGTGCTCGGGGGCTTCTAGAGTCTACACTGACACTTACATGTGCCCTGAACTTAAACGAGTACCATTCTTCAGGCCAGGCCCTGTTTCAGCGGAGCACGGTTGATGATATAAATCCTGCAGTACCCATAATAAGGAATATACCATAATTCCCATAGTTTAGGGTCCTTAAGGTAGTGCAGGAATTATATCATCAACCGAAAGACCAAAAAGCCCCGGGCCACTCCACGCTGGCAGCGATTTCGCTTCGAAGACCTGGAACAGCTCGTACGTTGCTTGTTTTGTTCTAAGGTTTATGGTCCTGCATGTGTTTCGTCGGGGGGGATGACCACATGCTAGGCCTCTCCATTATGATCTCGGGCTTAGAGTTCAGGGATGATGATGATGATGGCGACTCTGGGTATTGAGGTAGCATTCTGTAGTAGGGTTTGAAAAGAGGGTTGTAAGGGTTCGTTGAAGCATTGGCAACGGTCCGCAGTATCTCCTTGAAAAATGGTACACATATTCCTCAAGGACCCTCAGAACTATGCAGCTTGTAGTTTAGTAATTAAGCCCTTCGACGTAATCAATACTAAAAATAGCTTAGACCTGAGTTTAGCGAGCTATGATCTGCTTGCTTTCCATCTCTGTGGCATGACAACAAAACGTACCATGTGGGAGTTTCCCAAAAAATAGGGTTCCTTTAAAGGGATCCTTTAAGGTTCCTTACAGGGATCCATAAGGGTTCTATAAAGGGTTTAGGGTTTAGACTTTCCGAAAATTAGGGGTACCTTATTTAGGGGGTCCTCATAATAAGGATCCTACTATTTGGGGTACCCAATGTCCGGAAATTCCCATGTATGAAAAATACCTGTATGTCCTGTATATAATGCTAATGTTGCAGCTGAAGAGCTTTAAGAACTCGTGTGCTGTTGGAGTTGACCTGTTTCCACCGTTCAATAACTAGGATACCCAGTAACCTAAGAATAAAAAGGCCTCTCTTTTTGGTATTGGGTAACTTTATAAGGAACCTAGGACTACAAAAAGGGAATAAGGGTACTACTGGGCATCCTAGAATAAGAGACTGGAGAACTTATGTATTCCGAATGTCACGGGGTTCTTTCGGCAGGTGAAGATTTTTTTCTCAGACGCTGCTGGCCTAGAGATTTTCGAAGTCGAGCTAATCGCAACTCCCGAACCTCAAATCCTAAATGATAGATCCTAAAACCCTGAATCCTGAACCCTAGAACCCGAAATCCCCATTACCGGCATCCACCGACAGGGACTCCGGCTGAAGATCTTGTCGGCTGTCGACCTTTCCCTGAACCTGCGCGGGGACTGACAGCTCTGTATGCAGCGTGCGGCAGGGTGATTGAGGATTTCAGATTTAGAGCCTATCGTCCCAACTACGGTTTTGGCTTTCGGGGTTTAGGCATTTAGGGGTTTTGGGTCTAGGGTTAGCGCTTATAGGACTAACTACGGTTTAGAGTCACTTATAGGCTACTTTCTCCTGTCCACGGTGATAGAAGTCACTTTCCACTAACCTCGGTGGCATCAGAAGTAGTCGTCGTCGTTGCAGCACGTCGTTGTTCATGTCGGAGCAGTGGAAACCCCCGACCCAGAAACATCATACATACCTTAGAAGTGCCGAGAAGCCTCATTAAACTACAAGCAATAGCTAAGTAGCGGCACATGTCGTTGAGACAGGTGAAACTACCATAACCTAAAATGTTCCGCGGAGCCTTTTTGAAACTTGTAAGCCCTGGAATACATGTAGATATATACTATGATATGTGTACATACACGCTTTGAAGACGACCTAGCCCCTGAAACCGACACTTTAACCTTACACCAACACTAAACCCTGAGACCCTGCACACACCTCTGATTTGTGGCTGCAAATGCTTGGCTAAGCTTTGTGAGGCTCCGAAAACTCAAGCGCTGTAGCTTAAGTACTATGTAACATAGAAACCCACAGAATTGAGTTAAAGTCCTAACGGAAAGACAAATCCAAGCACTTCTCGTGCCCGACTAAAATCGGGGCCTTGAAAATTAGAACAGGGTTTCGGGGCCCATTCTACCATAACTACAATATGGAACCACCAAAATAGTGTTGGCAATTATTGCAGCCCCTATATTCCGGAAGTCAACCCTAATGTGAGATGCGTTTGTCCTCCCAGGACTTCATAACCCAAAGGGGGCCATATACACTACCATTACGGCATTAGGTCCCAAAAACCATGGCATGGTCTCTTGGTACCTGATTCCATAATAGTAGTGTCCATGGACCCCCTGGGAACTGAGGGTCTTGCAAGGCTAGGTTTCAGCCTTCCGCACCCACTGCCCAAGCTGACACACTGAAGACTAAAACATAGAGGTGGTTGTCAAAAGTATGGTACCTTTTTGGGTACCCTAAATATTAGGTGCCGTATTATAATAGGGACCCAAAAAGGGACCCTAATTTTGAACTACCCATATAGTAGAAGCCAGAAAGTTGGAACATCATTATCCTCATGCCCTTAAGGTAAAGTATAAGGGATTCTAGCACTAATCCTCCTAAAGCCATGTTCCAAGTTTCTGGCTTCTAGTATAAACTCATGCTCCGTAAATGCTACACCATGAAGCAACCTCAAACTACGGCTCAATCCGCAAACCTGCCTAAAGCAGTCGGCAAAACTTGCCCACATGGGTGCCCTAACTAAAGCCTAAACCACCCTATAAGCCCCAAACCCTACACCCTCTAAGCCCTAAGCTGCAAACCCTAAACTCTATAAGCCCTAAACCCCTAAAACACTTCAAAAGAGAAGAAGCCCTGCACTTTCTTCGTTCGCTTACTCCGCTGGTGGGGGAGCTGCAGCTGAAGCTTCGTCTTCTTCGTTCTCCGCCTGTCGACAAGAGTTGGAGGTTTAGGGTTTTTTTGGGGATTAGGGATTCAGTTAGAGCTTGCACCTATCTATATATATATAACAGTTATAGACATGTGTATATATATATATACATAGATGCATGTATACACATACACACACACACACATATATATATATATGTATATATACAAAACTGGCAACACTCGATCGTAAGCCTTGCCAAAGACCGCTTCAATGGCCGCCGAGCATCGTGCAATGAGGGTCTTCCTAATCAGGATAGGGGTTTAGGGGTTAAGGGCTTTAGGGTTTAGGGTTTCAGGATTTAGGGGTTTAGGATTTTAGAGGTTTAGGGTTTTGAGGGCTATTAAGTCCTAAAACCACCCTAAAGCCCTAGACCCTACACCCCTCTACGGTTGATGACATAAATCCTGCATTACCTTAAGGACCCTAAACTGTGGGAATCATGGGATATTCCTTATTATTGTGGCTAATGCAGGGTTTATATCATCAACCGTAGCACCTCCATCACAGGGTCCAGCAGAGCGGGACTGCGAGCACCGTCGACGATCGTGGGAAGGAACCTTTGGGGTTTTTGGATCCGAGTTTAGACTTTAAAGTTCAGGGTTTAAGGTTGGGGGTTTAGGGTTAAGGGTTAAGGCTTTAGGGTCGGGGGTTTAGGATTGTTAGGTTTAGGGTTTAGAGCTTTGGGTTCAAATCCTTGCTCCGAAGGCCAAACATGCACACACAGAGGCTCAAAGGAGGGTCTATTGCGATGTATGTTGGCTTCTAAACGCTAAACCCTGAATCCAAAACCCTAAACCCTCATTCCACGCCACGGGGCTCGATGTCCTTGTTCTGCGCTCGGGTGAGCAGTACCCGACCGAGCCTTGGTGCAATGGCCGGTAGGGTTGACTTTCAGGGATCTATACTTGGAGGATCATGGGACGTAGCAAGCAGGGTTATAAGTACCTTAATTGGGGTTACAAGTAATTATAAGTGTAGTTACCTTACTTATAACCCCAGTTCCTAAGCCCTATGATCCTTTAAGTAGGGGTACTATAGAAGGGTTCATACAGGATCATGGGACTTAGGAACCTAAAGGGCTCCTTAGAGGGGTTCTAGAAGAGATCTGTAAGGGTGTAGGGTCTAGTGGAACGGGGGTCTTGTTAAGGAACTAACTCAAGTTACCATAAGAGGGATCTATAAGGGTTCCTTTAAGGGGTCTATACGGGTTCCTTTGAGGGTATAGGGTTTAAGGATTTGTAGTTTAAATGATACGGTTTCCTGATTATGGTAACTTAAGTTAACTTCCGTAGCTAGAAGCTAGGTAAAGGGAGGTGGACCACGGGTGACCGCGACTGGGGGAGGGCTAGGTTCCTCGTAGCCCGTAACCTTTTCCTACGGTTGATGATATAAATCCTGCATTACACATAATAGGGAATATACCATAATTCCCATAGTTTAGGGTCCTTAAGGTAACGCAGGATTTATATCATCAACAGTAGTCTGCGGTTTTAATAAGGGGCTCCCAAGAAACCTCATCTACCATAGAGGCCTTAGTAGTTAGAACAGGGTTTGAGGGCATGCTATGCTAGAATTATAAGAAGGAACTCCCAAAACCCCTCTTCTAATTACGCTAAACCCTAAGACCTAAACCGTAATAAATATTAAGGCCCCTGTAGTAGCAACCCTCAACCCTGCGACTTGACCCCGAACCCTAAATCATCTCGGGGGTCCGAGCCGCTAATTCTAGGGCAACAGGTTAAACGGGTTTAGGGTTTAGGGTTTAAGGGCTAGAGTTTAGGGTTTAGAGTTTAGGGTTTTGGGTTTATTTAGGGCTTAGGCTTCAGAGTTTTTAGGGTTTAGGGCTGAGTGTTTAGGGTTCAAAGGGTCTCTTCAAGGCACCAGAGCCCAAAACTCCTCTACCCTGGTGTGGGGCCTCTCAGGTTTGCAGGCGTGATTGGCATTTGGGAGTTTCCGGAAACAGGGGGACCCTAATGCAGTACCCTAAATAGTAGGATCCTGATAGTATAAGGACACCAAAATGAGGTACCCCTAATAGAGGGTTCCTTTAAAGGAAGGACAGCCCTTAAAGGATACTCCCATGTGGGTCTATGTTTCAGGGGTTTAGGGTTCCCGGTCGCAGCTGCAGCCCCGGATTGCGGGTGTGTGTGTGTGTGTGTGTGGATGAGTACTGGAAGGTTTTGAAGGGTGCTTAAAGGGTCACGGGACTTAGTAAGTGAGGCTACAAGTAAGGTAACTACAGTTATAATTACGTATAACCCCAATGAAGGTACTTATAACCCTACTTACTCAGTCCCATGATCCTCCAAGTATGGATGGAGGGGAGTTATAACTTATAGTGGAGACGTATATGCTGAATCACGGGGCTATGACGGTTGACCTACTCTTCTAAAGGCATAGACAAAATAGTCACGATGCCATGACCTACTCATGTGAAGGGCCGGGGGCTGCAGGAAAAATCCTGCACTCTGAAGCTCGAATACATTTCGAAGCCCGACGGGAGTTCTGCAAGGTTGGCACCCTGATGTTTCTAGACTCTTCTGGAAGATCGAATCAAAACTAGACCGTTTGTTCCTGCATGAGCTGCATAAGAGCAAACAGTACCGGGCTTGCAATTTTCAGCAAACCCCAGCCATAACCCTAAACCCTAAACCCCTAAACCCCAAACCCCTAAACCCTAGCCATAAAGTACTTTCATGAATCGTTTAGGGTTTAGGGGTTTCGAGTTTAACGGCCCCAGGAGCTGAACCCAAAAGCCCCTAAACCCCTAAAGGGAACTCCAGAAAGTTGGAATATGGTTTCATGGTAGGATACCCTATAATTTACCATAAAGGGTTTAGGATAATCATATTCCAACTTTCTGGATTTTACCTTAAACCCTTAAACCCCTAAACCCAAAGCCCCTAAACCCCTAAACCCTTAGTAGGATCATATACTCTCCAAAATCCTAACCTACAAAAATACTATCCTAAAACCGAGAACCTCATCATTGGGTCCTTTGGACCCTTGGGGTTGGGGAACTAAGATAGGATCTCCGTCTCTGTACTCTACTTGGAGGATCATGGGGCTGAGTACCCAGAGACTCCAATACCCCTTAATTAAGGAATATTCCTTAAATCATATTAGGGATCCTACTATAATTTAAGGTATATTCCTTAATTAAGGGGTTTGGGAGTCTCTGGGTAAGTAGGGTTATAAGTACCTTAACTGGGGTTAGAGGTACTTATAAGTGTAGTTACCGTACTTATAACCCCAGTTACTAAGTCCCATGATCCTTTAAGTATCGAGGCGCAGGACCACGGCCAGGAGCAGAAGCCCAGCGACGAGCCTTGATACTTAAGGGGCTGAGCTCCTTTAGGGGCTCCTTTATGGTTTACAGTAGAAGCCCAAAAGTTAGAAACCCCAGAGCCTCCATCCTTAAGAGTAATGTATAGGGAATCCCAGCACCATTTGGCCTTAATCCAGTTTCCAACTTTATGGGGTTTACTGTAAACCCCTAAACCCTATAGATACCTTATGGATCCCTTTAAAGGAACCCCCATAGATCCCCTTAAGGAGCCTTAAGAAACTGTAGGGGTTTGGGAGGTTAGGGCTTAGGGTTAGGTGAGCACCCTCGGGCTCCTTTTTGAGGGTTCCTTTATGGTTTAGGGAGGAGTTTAGGGCTTGGTTTCGGGGCTGGGCTCCTTTAAGGGCTCCTTTTCTGGTTTAGGGGTTTAGGGCTTGGGGTTTAGGGGCTGAGCACCCCAGGGCTCGTTTAAGGGCTCCTTTAGGGTTTAGAGGTTTAGGAGTTTAGGGCTTAGGGTAAGGGCTCCTCTATGGTTTAGGAGTTTAGGGCTTAGGGTTCAGGGGCTGAGCACCTTGGGGCTCGTTTAAGGGCTCCTTTCTGGTTTAGGAGTTTCGGGCTTGGGGTTTAGGGGCTGAGTACCCTGGCCCAAAAGAGGTTAACCCTTCAAAGAATGGCAAGATAATATAATTAACGCCCAAAAGGTTACAGGCCTTTTCAAGACCGGTAGGATTGTATGAGCCCCAAAGGTTTTCGGTTACCTACTCAGCTAGGGATACTCGCGAAGGGTCCAAACACCCAAGGAGCGGGGCTGTAGCGGCCAAAAGCAATGACAAATGTACGGTTCCGGGCCTAGGGGTAGGGGGTTTAGGGGTTTAGGGGCTTATATGCTGTTGGGGACCTCCAACCCGAACCCTCCTGTTCGGGTGCTTGAACTCTATTCTTTAACCGTGGCTTTGCACATGTCGATCGGAACATCTCTGAAGCAGTCCAAGTTTCAGAGTTAAGGGCTTGAGTTAAATTCAAGCTCCAACCTGAAGTTGGTAGGCATTTACCCTAAGGCCCTGAGGATCCATGGCCCCAAAAAGCACATACTTTGGCCTCAAAGTAATCCTACACAGCTACGTAGCTTATCGGTCCAAATCATGATACGAGTTAGGCACATAAACCCTTACAGCTAGAGCTGGCCCAACCCTGTGAAACTCAAACACCCGACCAGAAAGCCAAAAACCCCCACCCACCCACCCACACACACACAAACACACATAAAACCCTCCTTAGCCCCTAAAGCCCTAAACCCCAGACTCAAGCATTGAACCCTGAAGCCGGAAGCCCCTGCACGAACCCGAGATTCCTGTAGACTGCCACATTGAGCCGTATAAGGCCCTATACCCCAAACTCCACACTCGTCTGCGTAAGCTGCAGGTAAGGGGCGCCTTTGCCAGATCCTCCTCATGCGCTCTGTGAACGCTGAAGTTCGTGTGCCTTTCAGAACTGCGCATTGGGATTTCGACCCAGTTTAGGCTACGGCCAGAGTACGGAATCTTACAGGTATAGTTTAGCAAGGGCGGTGAGGCATTAATGTCCTAAACCCAATATCAAAGCGCTTTCTAAACTCTCGTGAAGCCCTAACTCTGCCACTCGGCAGGACGATTCTCTACTTGGAGGGGCAGGGGACTTAGTAAGTAGGGTTATAAGTGGGGTTATAAGTGGGGTTATAATTGGGGTAACTCCATTTAGGGTATTTATAACTCTACTTATAACCTACTTACTAAGTCCCCTGGCCCTCCAAGTACTGCTTTCTGACTGATTGGCTAGGGTTTGAAATTAGGACGATTTTGGTGATGGGCCCGTTTAATTTCCCGGGTTTCCACAATGCTCTATGAGGGTGCGAGCATACTACAGGGCTACAGCTGGAGCTTGAAATATTGGAAAACGCCGTTCAGGCTGTCATGTTTGCGCCGGTTAGAGCTCAGGGTTTACCCTAAGCCTCCAGGGACCTTATTATTGGGTCCTAGTCTAGGGCCCTAACAATGAGGTCCTTGGAAGGAAGGATAGGTTGAGAGTTTCGGGTTTGGGGCCGGGGTTTGAGGGCTTCAGGGTGTTTAGGTTCTGAGAGAGGAGCTTGGTGCTCCTTGAATTCGGAAAAAACACCAGCTCGGAGCCTACTTGGAGGATCATGGGATATAGTAACTATGGTAAAAATTACGTTTACTGTAACTGTACTTATAACCCCAATTAAGGTACTTATAACCTTACTTACTAAGTCCCATGATCCTCCAAGTAGGGCTAAGCACAGGCTTCCAAACCCTGAGCCCTAAAGCCCAAGACGGAATGCAAGTGTATGTCAGGGGTAAACCCTGATCCCTAAGGGTCCTAAACGGTAAACCGTGGGTAAATCCAAAACCCCAAGGGACCCTAAAACCCTAAAGGCCCTAAAGCCTAAAACCGTGGGTAAACCCCAAACCGTACGGGCCCCAAACCCTAAACCGTGGGTAAACCCCTAAACCCTGAGGGCCCTATCCTTCCAAGGACCTCATAGTTAGGGCCCTAGACCCCTTAAGGACCCAATACAATGCCCCTGGAGACATAGAGTAAGGCTAAACTCTAAATCGTGTCAAGCCGCATGTTCATCACGGCGACGTTCTCATCGTGGCCGTGCCAGTTGTTGGGCTCCCCCCGGGCCCAATTCTGGAACCCCTGACAGTTTATAGGGCTCAGGACGCTTGGGAGGTTTTGGGCTAGGGCCTAAGTGGTTGGGGGATTAGAGTTCTTCGCGATTTTTGGCAGGCAAATGCAAACCCCTGATCATTCAGAAACCCACTCCCTACTTAAAGGATCATGGGACTTAGTAATTGGGGTTATATGTAAGGTAACTACACTTATAAGTACTTATAACCCCAATTAAGGTACTTATAACCCTACTTACTGAGTCCCATGATCCTCCAAGTATATGAGGGTCTCAAAACTCGGATTGAAATCTTGGTTGTAATTGTAAGTAAGTCCTTATTGCCGCCCGTAAAGGAACCCTTTTCGAACCCCTTGAATCCAAGGGTAAGAGGAGGGTCCCCATTAAGGGTACCTCCTTTTCCCCTGTGATTGAAGGTCAAGGTGCAAGATGGGAGTTGTCCGTCCAGAACCATTCTTCAGTCCTCAGCCACCATTAGGGTGGTTGTCAAAATTAGGGTCCCTCTTTGGTTCCCTCCTATAATACGGCACCTATTATTTAGGGTACCTAAAAAGGGACCATAATTTTGACAACCACCCAGTAAAAAAAATGAGGCGATAGTTGGGGTTTAAGGCGTAGGGCATGCTCAGCTGTTGTGAATAAATATCCGTATGGGTACATGTGTCCACCAAATAAGTAGTTTGGGGCTGCAGGGTAGGGCTCAGGGTGTGCATTTCGTAGGAAGCAGAACTTTTGTGGGGGAAAGAGCTGCAGGTGCAAAAAGCCGCAAAACACAGTCGCTGCCAGCACTGAAATTATGTGCAGAAATTGGGTTTTGCAACGGGCACCCTTTCCGTCGCTGATTTGGAACTACACAAGCCCGAAATCGACTCTGGTCGGAGCGGCTCGGGGTGTTCGCTGAGACCCAGCCAGCACATTCTTGCCCCGCACAGCTTCTGGACCTCAGGCTGTTTGCCCACCATACACTAAACCCTACGCCCTAAACCTTTATATGGAGGCGCAATCCTAGACCCTAAAACCCTTAAACCCTAAAACGGCAATGGTTAGGGCTTGAGTGTTTAGTGCACGGTTTAATCCGATCACGGCGGCCTTCGTAAGCTGAAAGGAGCGAAGTCCGAAGTTCAAATCCATCTGCAATCGGCCGAATTAAAGTTCCAGGATTTGTTTTATAAGGTTCCGGTCGGGGCTCTATAACAGGAGGGTTGAAAGGGGGGGCTTCGGTTGTTATGGGTTTATGATCTTTCATAGTTTTGGATGAAGGCACGCAGCCTGGACTTGGCCATAAGGCCACCTCTCTGCCACCTATCCAGACAGCCCAAAACGCTGAAACATAGACTAATTAATTAGTTAAGACTGTTCCTTGATTTACAGTGTATATTTCTCAAGTTTGACCTGGACATTGAAGCTCGACCCAAAGCTCAGGAAACTCGCAAGCGGTACTCCGAGTTCGGCGCGAATCTTTGTTCCTCCACCGTGCCGATCGACACCAAATGCGCATCTAACTCCTCAGGAAGATCTTTGGTTCATACCCATCGGCCCCATAGTAGTTCCTTTTTGGGGAATTCTAAATATGAACCCCAAAAAAGGAACTACTATGGGGCCTATGGGTAAGTCTCATGGGGCCTCTTGACCTTACCTGGGGATCCAAAAACCTACCGTTTTAAGGGCTCCACCCTCTATTTGCGGGGTCATAACGTACTATTTTGGCCGATGCCAAACGCAAACAAACCTAAACTCCCTGGTACTTATAGGGCATGGGGGAATGGATCCCTGAAGTAGTCCACATATAATTCCCAATACTCGTTCCCATAATTCATTCTCCCATTCCCTACTAAACACCAGGGAGTAAACTCAACTTCAATGCCGACCCTTCGACCCTCCCTCTAACAAATGGCCCTTCGACCCTCCCTCTAACAAATGGATGGTTGTCAAAATTATGGTCCCTAATTGGGTACCCTAAATAATAGGTGCCGTATTATATTCAGGACCCGAAAAGGTACCCTAATTTCTAGACCCAAGAGTAGCCTAGGACTAGAAAGGGTGCCCTTTTTGGCTTTAAGGGGCTTATATAGGAACCTGAACCCTACAAAAAGGGAATAAGGGCCTACTCTAGGTCCTAGATTTTGACAACCACCCAAATGGAAGACCCACGCCCTGAACCTCAAAACCAGAGGTGAGTGTCCAGACAGCGCTCTGACGCGGTGTGGAAGTCCCAGTGCCAGTCGAGCCTGCAGAAGTTTCTTGGAGCTTTTCTTGGGGGTGGGTTCAGGGGTTTAGGGTTTAGGGGTTTAGGATGCCTTTGGCGCTGCAGCTTCGCTTGCTTGTGCTTTTGCGCCAAGCCAGAAGGCTTCTGCGCTGGAGATAGTTTCAGTCTTTTTGGGGGGCGGTGTGTTTAGAAAGAATCGGGAGTTGAGTTCTGATGATGTGGTCTAGCCAGGGCACTGCGCCCAGGGAAGATTGATGAGCCTCCCTGATATCGAGAAGTTGCATGCCCTGTGCCTGCATCCTGAGCCCGAAGACTCATCCGGTCACCCCAAACGGAAGGGTTTAGGATTTTGGCTTGGCCGTGGTTGAGGGGTTTATGGTTTAGGGCTTTCGGGGTTTAGGGTTTAGGGGTTTAGGGGTTGGGGTTTAGGGTTTAGGGTTTGGGGGTTTAGGGGTTTAGGGTTGAGGGCTTCGGGTTTGGAAAACCAAATGCGGATTTCAGAAAATAGGGGACCCTAATACAATTCCCTAAAATTTGCCCTAAATAGTAGGATCCTTATTATAAAGACCCCCAAAGAAGGTACCCCTACTTTTGGGAAACTCCCAAATCAACACAAAAGCGCCCGGCATGACACCTCAGAGCCTGAACGGGGGCCTTGGGCCCGATCCCAAAGCTTGAACCCAAGGGCAGGGGACTCAGTAAGGGTTCTTAAAGCGCTCCTTAAAGGGATCTATAGGGTTCCTTAGAGCGATCTATGGGGATTAGGGTTTAGGGTCTACTTGGAGGGGCAGGGGACTCAGTAAGTAGGGTTATAAGTAGGGTGATAATTGAGATGACTCCCCTTAGGGTACTTATAACTCTACTTGTAAACCTACTTACTAGGTCCCCTGCCCCTCCAAGTATAATCCCTGAACCCTAAACCCGTAGATCCCTTTAAGAAACCCCATAGATCCCTTTAAGGAGCCCTTTAAGAACCCTAGTGTTCCTTTATTAGAAGCCGCTTACAGGTGGGTAGTTCTTCTTCCATAGTACTCCCATAAGACCCCCTTCACCTTATAGGGGTGGTATGGGAGGCTTATGGGAAACTACCCATCTAATAACTACCCACCTGTAAATGGCTTAGATTTATTGAGTCCCTGAACCCTAACCCGACCTCTTGTAGCAGCCGTACTCGAAGACCTCCCAACCCGCTTCGCAGGGAGCTTTCTGATCTCCTGCCACGGTTTAGGGTTTAGGGGTTTAGGGTTTAGGGGTTTAGGAGTTTGGGGTTTAGGGGTTTAGGGTTTAGGGGGTTAGGGGTTTAGGGTTTAGGGTTTAGGGGTTTAGGGGTTTAGGGTTTAGGGGTTTAAGAGTTTGGGGTTTAGGGGTTTAGGGTTTAGGGGGTTAGGGGTTTAGGGTTTAGGGGTTTAGGGGGTTTAGGGTTTAGGGGGTTAGGAGCCAAGCATTTTGGAACATTACCACCCTCATGCCCTTTCGGCAAAGCAAAGGGGATCCGAGCACTAACCATCCTATATCCATTTTCCAACTATCCTCATTTCACTAGATTAGCCCTATCCTGCAAAGAACTTCATAGCTAGGGCCCTACTTAGAGGATCATGGGACTTAGTAAGTAGGGTTATAAGTACCTTAACTGGGGTTATATGTACTTATAAGTGTAGTTACCGTACTTATAACCCCACTTACTAAGTCCCATGATCCTTTAAGTAGACTCTAGACCCCTTATGGACCCAATAGTACAATCCCAGAAAACATAGGGCAGGTCTGAGTCTGAGTCCGACGTCTGGGTCAGTGCCACAACACTCTCAACTTAGAGGCTGAGTACCCAGAGAGCCGAATACCCCTTAATTAAGGAATATAACTTAACTCATCCTATAAAATTTAGGCCATATTCCTTAATTAAGGGGTATTGGGCTCTCTGAGTACCTTACTACCCCAGTAAGACAGGGCCACGGTTAGGGTTTAGGGTTTAGGGCTTTGCAGTCTCTAATAGGGCTACTCTTAGGGTCCTAATGATTAATATCTTTACTATTAATATTATTCAACTGTTACTGAGTGGGGGCAGTTTCCAACTAGGCTGAGTACCTTACTGCCCCAATAAGCCACACCAAACATGTTAAACTTTCCGATTCCTACTAAATTATGAGTCCCCAAAAGGTTAAAGGTTAGGTATGTGGGATCTACGGTAGCTTATCTCCAACAGGGGTTTCGGGTTTATATGGTTTAGGATGTGGGCATGAGGGTATAGGGTTTAGGGTGGTGTTTGAGAGGTAGGAAAAAAAGACTCCGACCCCAAAACCTAAACCCGAAACCCTAAGCAACAAAACCCAAGGTTTGGGACCCCCTCTGAAGAGCCTCTTCCGGGAGCACATCGACTCGCAGGTGTGGGATTCGTTTCTTGCTGGTTATCCGGGCTCGGGTTTTTAGAGTTCTACGGTGTAATATAGGCCATAAACCCTAGACCCTAAGTCACCAATCCTGGACACCTACACCACTCAGCCTAAACCCGAAAGTGCAGCGTCCCCCGCCTCGTCTCTTCTCGCATATCGCCTTGGCACTGACGGCTTGACAACCCTGAAAGCAGGTAGCATCCACAACTGCGACACCAGCCAGAAGGATGACAATCGCGGCGGTGCAAAGCAGCAGTAGTCATAAGAGCAACCATGATGTCATCAACGTGCAACAGAAGCATGATGTCCACGACGGACACAGAAGCAGCAGCAGCCGCAAGCGCCGGACATTCGTACATTCAGTAGTAGTGGTACTAAACGAAGGTTTTGTGTGTCCCTGAGGCTCTATGCACCGATCCCTTACGACATAGAACTTTGAAGGGGTCACGGCTTCAGAGCTACGAGTACTAGAGAAGCCCAAATAATTTCCTTAGGGCTAAGTCTTATACGTATGCTATGATGATGCCTCAACTCTAAACCCTAAATGATTGAGGGTCCTACAGCTACCTGTCAGCAATGTGCCGAGGGACAGTGGGCTGGTCGAAGATTCCTGATATATCGTACCTCAGGAGGCATACTTGAAGGCTCATGGGACTTAGTAAGTAAGGTTATAAGTAGATTATAATTAGGATAACCCCACTTAGGGGACTTATAACCCCACTTATAACCTATTTACTAAGTCCCATGATCCTTTAAGTAGAAACTCGATTTAGACTGTTTCGGGCTGGGAGTTGAAGGTTCAGGGTTTCAGTTTTAGGCAGAAGCTGCAAAGTTTCTGTTTCCCTAGATCCTACTAGAAAACCGAAAACTTAAGCCATTAACACATCGATCCCAGGATCGGTGGATCTAAACCCTGGGACATAAGAACCTAAACCCCCAAGAAACTCCAAGATGCACACAAACCTCGGGCTAGTAAGTCGCTAAGCACTAAATAGAACGATAATGAAGAGCCCAAACCCTTCGATACAAAGCAACATAGGCTATCATAGCCCGGAAGTCCTAAAACGACTAAACCCTCGGGACCAACAACTCTGAACCCTAAACCCCACGGGGCACAACTTGAACACCAGACACTAACATACCTACCCATATAGGCCCCATAGTAGTTCCTTTTAAGGATTACCTTATAGCATTCTAAACATGAACCCCAAAAAGTAACTACTATGGGGCCTATGGGTAACCCTGCAAGCCTTCAACTTTAAACTGACACCTGAAGCCTGTCTAGGTTCCAAACCCCACATCCGGAAATGTTCAACTCTAACCCCAAGGGGCCAAAGGACCCAAAAAAATAGGTACTCGGCCTTAGGATAGTAGTTATGTAGGTTAGGATTTTGGTGAGTATAATATGATGATAGGGGACTTGGACCCTTGGGGTAACCTAAGCCCAGAGTCTTGTAACCTGAACCCTCGCCCTAAAGCCCTTAAATGAAACCTCAACCATTATTGAAGGTACCTAAACCCCGATAAACCCCTTGAAAGGAACACTTACAGGCACCTAGATCACCTAAACCCTTATTTCCCTCTGTAGAACTTTTATCGGAACCCACTACCCTTGGAGGAGCCCTTAAGGAACCCTTTCAGGAGCCAGTAAAGGAACCGTTGTAGAACCCCTACAGGAACCCTTGTAGTACCCCTATAGATCAGTCCTTTGACAGAGCCACAAACGTTACAACCCTTAGAGGAGTCTCAAACACTAAACCCTTAAACTGTTGCTCAAGACCTTAATCCCTGAACCTCAAACTCAACCCCAATGCCCCTAAAAGAATCCTAAACCCTGAAGCCCTTCCTTAATTTAAGCCCTGAAGAACAAAATCCAACCCTTAACCCCAAAGCCCTTAAAGGAATCCTAACCCCTTTAAACCTTCTTTCTGCCCCTTCAGCTGTACAGCACAAAATCTAAAACGTAACCCCAAATCCCTTAAAGTAATCCTGAACCCTGAAACCTTGCTTCAAGCCCTAAAGCACAAAGTCTAGCCCTGTACCCCAAACTGGATCCTTCCAAGCAAACCCCAAAAGCCTCAAAGCCTAACCCGTAACCCCAAGACCCCAAAAGGAATCCCAGACTCTTCAAACCTTCTTTAAGCCTTGCAGCACATGGGAGGCCAAAATGGGGGGTTTAAGGATTTTGTGGGTAGGGATTCCTTAATATGAACCCTATTATGGGAACCCTAATCCCGGCTAAAACCCCTTTTGGCCTCCTATGATACCGTAAACCCTAAACCCTAAATCCTAAACCCTAAACCCTAAACCCTAAATCCTAAACCCTAAACCCTAAACCCTAAATACTAAACCCGAAGGCCCCTAAACGAATCCTTTTAATTTTTAAGACAATCAACTCGGGCTCTGACCATTGACCTGCGGCCCACGAACCCGGCTCAGTCGCTTCTGTCAGCTGCTCCTTTTGGGACTGTAGAGGTTCAGGGTTTAGGGTTGAAGAACCCTAAACCCTAAACCCTAAACCCTAAAGGCTTCAGGGTTTGGGCTTGTTTTGGGTTCAGGGCTGAATGTTGAATGCTCCTCTTATAGGGTTTCGGGCATTTTGGGGGTTCATGGCGGAGTGCTCCTTTTAGGGCTCTAGGGTTTCGGGCCTTCTCGGAGTTGAGAACTTAATGATTAATGATGAATCCTCCTTTTATGGCGTCAGGGCTTGGCTGTTTCGGGGTTCAGGGCTTAATGTTGAATGCTCGTTTTGAGGCTTTAGGGTTTCGGGCTTCTTTGGGGTTCAGGGCTGAATGTTAAGTGCTCCTTTTAGGGCTTTACGATTTCGGCTTTTTGGGGGTTCAGGGCTTGATGCTGAGTGCTCCTTTTAGAGCTGTGAGGTTTAAGAGCTTATGTGATATATGGCCAGATGGTTCTTTGGACACATGATTTCATTCATGTTCTCAACGGCAGCCACTGTTCATGTTGCATGCAAATTGGACATAGCTGTTTTCGCTACTTTGAGCTTCAGGTCCCACATGTCTAAAGACTCAGCCCATCGGTAATGTCAGCTACAATTCATCCCACACCATGGTCCTCGGGATGTTTAGACGTTCAACAATGCCTGCAAAATAGGGGTCTTAATATTTAGAAGAGGGTTTTGGGTACCATTATACTATCATCATAATAAAGACCCCCCAAAAATCGTGTAGGTAATTGTTGAAGCCCCTATAGTAGCCTTTTTGGAAAAGGAATTCGGACCCCGGGCTCTTCCCAAAGGGTTCTGATCTGCACATAAGTCCTCAAAAGGCTCAGCGCCGGATTAGGGCTCAATAAGAAGGGTTTAGGGCTAGAGGGCTTCGGGTTTAGGGTAGGGGCTGACTGTGAATTTTTGACTCAATAGAGCCTGGGAAACCACTTTGGACCTGCGCCACATCTTGCCTCCTGCCATCGGGGCCGCGTCTCCAGTAGTCACACTTAAAGGATCATGGGACTTAGTAACTGGGGTTATAAGTAAGGTAACTACAGTTATCATTACTTGTAACCCCAATTAAGGTACTTATAACCCTACTTACTAAGTCCCATGAACCTCCAAGTAGACCCTAAACCCTATACCCTTATAGTACCCCTATAGATCCCTTAAAGGGACCCCTATAACCCTACTTACTAAGTCCCATGATCCTCCAAGCAATCAACGACGTCGCCCCAAGGCCCCGATACGAAGGCCCAGACATGAGGTCCGCAGTGAACTGGGTTTAGGGCCTTTAGGGTTTAGGGTTTAGGGTTTAGGGTTTAGGGCTTAGGGTTTAGGGTTTAGGGTTTAGGGTTTAGGAACTGCCCGAAAGTTGAGCCACTCAGGAGGCCTCAACGACTTAGCTTGTCTTAGGGCTAGGTACACCGCAAATCGGCATTCAAGCAGCAAGCAACCTGTGCCCGTGCCCCTGCATTTCGGAAGAAGCACACGGAACAAGTGCAAAGTGCATTTTTCAGGGATTCCCTTTTGGGAGCATTGCTGTCCTGCAACTTGATGCCATGTCTCCGAAACATCTCAAGGAGCTGAGATATCAGCCGACGGCTTTTGTCCAGGTCTCACAAGCTGTCTCAAGATCGCACGAGTTCGCACTGCACACAAGCATCGCACATCATGAGATCATGAGCATATCCTGTCAGGAAGTCACGTGCCGCGTGCCGGCCTATCGGCCTACAATATCGATGGATGTAGGGCCAGGGATTCAGGGCTTTGGGGTTTTACCCTATCCTTTCAACGACCTCATAGTTAGGGCCCTAGACCCCTTAATACCCAATAATAACTTGGCTGACTTCTGAACCCCTCCTAAAAGTTAAACTTTTAGCATCCTTATTGTAATTCGTCTGGAAACCCAAAAAGTTCAAGCCTAAAGAGCCAACCAGAAGAACGCCAAGATAAGGTCCCTGGAGGCATTGGCTTACGGCTGCGGGCTTTTCAGGCATTGCGCTTTAGACTGTTTGGACAGGGGCCCTCCTCCACCGTACTCAACCAGTCAGCCAGAGATTCCCAAAACCATTTAACACATATGGGTAATTGTCAAAATTATGGTCCCTTTTTGGGTACCCTAAATAGTAGGTGCCGTACTATAATAGGGACCCAAAAAGGGACCCTAATTTTGACAACCGCCCATATTATTAACATATTAAGCACCCCTCGACGATTTCGGGCGCATATTCTTTGAGGGGTGTTGGAGATTTTGGAACCCAGACCTTATAATGAATCTCTGAACCCAAACCCCTAAACTTAAAACTCCTAAACCTACATCCACAATCCCCTAAACCCTGATCCCTAATCTTCAAAATCCCAATCCCTAAATCGACCATTCAAACCAATGCCAGCGCGTTCCTTCAGGTCGAAGTTCATGATGGCGGCCTTGAAGGGCTTTGGGCCTAAGGTTTAGGGTTTAAGGTTTAGGGGTTTAGGGCCTAAGGTTTAGGGTTTAGGGTTTAGGGGTATAGTGGTTCAGGGGCTTACCTACACCCCCGACTACCCCCTATTCGACCCCAACAAGCCTCAAATACCCTCTATTGCATTAAGGGCCATAAAGGCTCTGTTCGAGGTTAGTAGCTACGAAAATAAGTAAGCCACCTATAGTTGTAACTAACTAATTACTTATTATAGCAAAACTATGAGACTTATAACCTTTCTTAACAAGATCCATGATGCTACAAGTGCGCTTCCAGTGTGGGTGGCCTCGGGGTCTTCCGAGCAGGAAGTGGTTTAGCGTTAAGAGCCTTGCGCTTGGGTTGTATGGGTTTTCCTTATCCCTCCAGGGACCTCATTATTGGGTCCTGAAGGGGTCTAGGGCCCTAAATTCGAGGTCCTTGGAAGCATAGGGTTTTGAATTTGGAGGATTTACGGCTGAGGGTCTTCACACAAGAGCTGGCTTTGCAAACTGTGACATGCAGCGGAAAGGAAGTGATCGTCCTGCATAAGCCCTAAATACCAGACGACAAATTTCAGCGCGGACCGGGTACACTAAGAGCCATACCGGATCGAAACAGCAACCGACGTGCATGGCGCTTTGCTTCGAACGTGGGACTTAGCAGCATGATGAGGTAGCGGGTATGTTGCGCAGAGATTTAACGATCGACCACTCCAGAAACTTGTGCCCGAAAGCCTGACATATTCAATTTCACAACCCCTGAACCCTGACCCGTAAACCATAAATATCCATGAAGACCCAACCCCTAAACCCTGAATCACCGCTTCTGATGCAGGGAACTGAACTGTGAACGCAAGACCACGATCCTGAAAGAAAGGCTTCCAATCTACATCGAAAGCTGCAACCTACCTCTGCTTTGCGGGTCCAATGTACCTAATATTATTTGGATACTCGGATTTAGGATACTTGTAGGATGTGCTAGCACATAACTGCATAATTATATGGTACTTGGACCCTTTAAGGTTTCTGGAAGGCCGGGGCACGTTTTCATTCACGTTGTCGAACTGATTCGGCTCGCCTGCGCCCCAGAGTTTGCCCCGTCGTTTCGTCAAAGAAGACGACTTGTAGCAGCAGGTTAAGGTTCACAGTAGAAGCCTGAAAGTTGGAATATCATTATCGTAACCCCTTTATGGTAAATTATAAGGTATCCTACCCTGAAACCATATTTCAACTTTCTGGAGTTCCCTTTAGGGTTATTATGGATCCTACTATAATTTAAGGTATATTCCTTAATTATGGGGTTTTGGAGTCTCTGGGTTTAAGGTTTAGGGTTCAGGCTCCCGAACCCTGATCCCCGAAGGCTTGGGGCTCAAAGCTTATAGGGTCGTAGGATCTCAAGGCTCGGGGGTCCAACAGAGGGCAGTCAGGGGTCCAGGGGAAACCCCGAACCCTAACTCAAAATCCCCGAAGGCGAAAAGTGCTTGTAACCCAAAGTACAAGTCAGTTCCTTTCAATTTTCCCTTGTCCGTTTTTACCCTGAACCCTAAACCCCAAACCGGTCTTTTCTTATTACAAACACAAAGTCTCCAAGCCAAGGCCCCGAATGACCCTCGACTCAACTCTACAGCCCACCCTCAACCCTAGAAACTCGCGCCGTCATGCCAGTTGCTGTAGCTTCGAACGTCGAATGTGCGGCCGTCCTCACAGGCTCATCGGAGAAGGAGAGCGGCAGGGAGTAGGTAATCCCTGGTTTGAAGTTGGGGTTTAGAGCTTACGATCTAGCACTGAAGGTGAAAAGTGGAAACTTTAGCATATACGGCTGCTGGTGAAGTGTTCCTCGAATAGCATGTCATTCAGGTAGTGTAGTATGCAAACTCTTATCACTTGGGGGTTGGGTCTTTTGGATGTCACGATATCAAATGCTTAAGAGGTAGCCTTAAGAGGGCATGTATCCCAGCCTTTGTCCAGGCAAAGATCTTCCACGAGGCACAGGAAAAAATCCCTCTTTCTGGAGGTGCTACCATGCAGACAGCTGGCCCCGGCATCTTGCAATACCCGCGATGATGGTACGGTTGATGATAAAAAACCCTGTAATTATGACCTTAAGGACCCTAAACTATGGGAATAATGGTATATTTCTTATTATGGGTATTGCAGGATTTATACCATCAGCCGTATTGAAATCTGAGATGGCAGCTCTTGAGATCTCACGCGCCTTGCTGAACACCTGAATCTGAAGCTAGTGGACCACGAAACCCCTAGACTCTATCCAAGGGGAAAAGGAGGGACCCTTAATAAGGACCCCTGGATATATACCCTCAATATATCTATTATATACCCATTATTAATTATATAGCCCATTATAGGGTAGGGGTCTTTCTTGAGGGTCCCTCCTTTTCCCCTTTGACTCTACACCCTAAGCCCCATAAGCCGTGAACCCTACCCTATAAGCCGTGAACCCTGCACCCTAAACACAAACCGGCACGAAACCCTGATGTAGGGACCTTAAGAATTAGAATAGGGTGGTGTTGGGGCTACAGTTATAATAAGGACCACCCAAAATAGTATAGGTAGTTATTGAGGCCCCTATATTACTGCTCCATCCGGGCGAGCTTCAAGCCACCACCAAACAGCAGAGCTCGAGTGCTTGCGCAGGCCAAGCCAACAGAAGCGATTGCCACCTTTCGAATGGATGAATTTAAGGGCCTCGATGGTTAGAGCAGGTAGGAGGAATATGTAACGGACGCAGGGTTCTAGAGGTTTAGGTGGTTTAACGAATCACTAGCATGGGCTTGCGTATATTCTTGCCAAGTGTGTATATTGCACAGGCCTGAGTAGTCACAACAAGGTCTCGGAAACAGGTGGATGAAGCTCGCTCCCGATGCAACAATTTCGACCAAACCAGGAAAACAAAGGCTTAACTCCAAAGCGGGAAGCGTTCCTGTTCATGAATACCACAGTTAACACAACCAGGACGATGCATTACCGAACACCCGAATATCTAAAGCCCCAAAGCCAAACAACCGCTGAGCTCGCCGCACATCTTTTGCACGAACCTCGGTTAGGGTTGTGGGTTTAGGTTGAAAGCTTTTAGTCAACGGCCAAGGCCGGGGTGTGGTAGTATTTTGGGCGCGGGGCTTGTTGCATATGAGGAGGTCTGTGTGTCTGTGCGTAGGGCGTGGTCGACTCACGGTGATCCATCCGAGCCTTCTAAGAAGCTAAGCTTCGCATAGCAAAGCTCTACATGAATGCAGCCTGTGCAACCGTAAAGCATGTACCAACATAAAGCTCTCTTTACAGATCCTTGTCATTAGTGAGATCACTAAAGTAATAATTGCTGATAGCCACAATAGGGTACTTAGAACCCTTCCTACTAAGTCCCATGATCCTCAAGAAACCATATCCCAACAAATAGAAGCCTTGCAAGGTAAACAAAAGCCTTATGAAGCTTGAGCATGTACAGAATAGGTACATGGTCTTTGTCGAAAGCCTGTAGTAAACCCTAGACAGCCTAAAACCCACTAAGGGAACTCAAAGGAACACAGTACGGAACCATTACATGGCTCCTGAAGGATTGGAGCTTAAGGGCTACAGCGTTTGATTTTCAGGTCGTGGTTGAGGGCCTAGCAATCACAATAGCTGCTGTTCGAAGCGGAGTATCATTACTCGAGAATTTAGTTTTGTTTGTCAGTGCTATCTGTCCACCCGCAAGGCATTCTGAAGTGGATGCAGAGTCTTTCGCGGATGACCTCGCGAACGAGCGTGTGCAGCTCTGCCAGACTCAACCAAAGACACAGCATGTGTCCTGAGAAACCTGAGATCCACTGCGCTCCCTGCCCGGTTCGCACTCACTCATCGATGCTTCCAGGTCTTTGCATTCAGCGTGTTTGTAAAGCGGCATTCGATGTCCAGATCCCTGCAGTCTGCCGGCTTCCCGCCGGATCAGTCATAGTGCTGAGATGTGGCTGCCGCAAACGCCCGATTACCACATCTGGCATGTCGGCAGCTTGGAACGTGGCATGTGGGATGCAGAGACAAGTGCTCAGAATTGCGAGAGGCCTTTTCCCACACAGTACATTTTAATGACAATAATAAACGAACGCCATGGAACAATCAGAATTTTGACTGCTGTCCTCGAAGTTACATACCCGGGACCAAAAAGATGTAAGCCGGTAACTTCAATGTCGAGACGAAGTTCTAAACATCTGCCATATCGAAACACCTAGCCCTAAGCTCTTTTGATTGCATCCTGGCCCAAACCCGACTCCCCTAAACCGGTGTAGATCTCTCATGAAACACCGTTTAGGGTTTAGGGTTTAGGGTTTAAGGTTTAGGGTTTAGGGTTTAGGGTGTAGCACCGGTGAATGAAACCAAAGCCCGAAACTCAAAGCTCTTCCCGCCCTCGGGAACCTCTTAGCTACTTAGGTAGTTCTCGAAACTAGGGTCCCTGTTCAGGTCGCCAAAATAGTACGGCACGGGGACTCCAAGACACGTGAACCATGTAGTAAACATCAACATGTAGAAGCTAGCTTAAGTGAGGATGTCAAGTAGATTCCTCAACGCCTTAAGCAAGGAAAAACTTATGATATCGAACCATCTTTGATATGTTTAAAAATGTATTCCATATCTAAAGGGTTTCGGGAATGTCGCTAGGTCCGGGGACTCATTCTCCTCTGGAGTCTCGATGGAGACCAGGAAGGAGTTGTGCTCCTGGGGGAAGGGGAACATTTTTGATCGGAACGAAACCCTAAGCAGTAACCTTATGCTTCCAAGGACCTCGTATTTAGGGTCCTAGACCCCTTGAGGACCCAATAATCATGTCCCTGGAGGGATAGGGCTAATGATGGTAGGGGGTGGGGCGTCGGTCAGATACGCTTCACACTTATTCCCAGAGACTCCAATACCCCTTAATTAAGGAATATACCTTAAATCATATTAGGGATCCTACTATAATTTAAGGTATATTCCTTAATTAAGGGGTTTTGGAGTCTCTGGGTTCTTCAGGAGTAGCTCGGATCCCGATTGCTGTAGCACCCTCAGTCAGTGGGGCAGAGGGGTTTACTGGGGATCTGCGACACATATGGTAGGGTTTCGGCTGCAGGCTTGGGGTCATGTAGGGCTTGGGGTGTAGGTTTTGAGGGTATGAACTAGGGCTTACAAGGTGTATGACTCCACAGGTATCGGTTCATTTAGAGAAGCAGACCACTTTGGGACGAACCTCGCAGCAAGATGCAGGCAGAAGACCTTTCGGACAAGTCTTCACAACTTGCTGTATATCGGGAATCAAAGGGGAAATGGAGGGACCCTTAATGGGGACCCTTGGGTCCCTATAATGGGCTATATAATGGGTATATACTGGCTATATTAAGGGTAAATACCTAGGGGTCCTTATGAAGGGTCCCTCCTTTTCCCCTTGGAGGGGAAAGAGTAGCCCCATTTTCACCCTTAGCCCTGAACCGCTCAACCCGAAACTCCCCAGAGATTCCCATACCCCTTAATTAAGAAATATAGCTTAAATTATAGTAGGATCCCTAATATAATTTAAGGTATATTCCTTAATTAAGGGGTTTTGGAGTCTCTGGGTCCCGACAAGTCAACGAGGAGATGACAACCGTCCTCGCAGCGCTGCAAGGCGATTGCAAACTCAGCCGGTCGATCGATTTTGTGGTAGCCTGGGTCTGCATGGTTTAAGGTTTAGGCGGTTTAGGGGTTTAGGGTCAGGGTTCAGGGGTTTATGTCTGTTAGTGTTTATCTTTCGTGGTTTCTGATCTAACTTTTGTGTGGGCTGGGCATCTGCACATAGCTATTCCTACCACCGTGGCGAGCGTGCCGCCACAGTAGTTGGGTACTGTGGCCCCAACTCCATCATGGAACATCTGCTATCGGTGATATCCGGGAGTATCAGAAAAATAGCTCCCGGAGCTAGTATATAGCCTCACAGAAAAATGCAGGATCCTTATACCACTACCTGAACAGGAAATGCTCGCCCTCAGTCCTTACCGAGCCTGCTACATACCCCACATGTTAGGATACGCAATATAAGCCTTACCTGAACTATCAAAGAACACAGCGGCCTGTTTTAGGACTTATGTGAGGAAGCCATAACAAGAAGCCCTACAAACGTAGGTGCTGTGCTCAGTAGGACCAGGACCCTGAACAGGAACTAAGTGTTCATCACTTGTATCTTTGCTTGTAGTACTTCGAACCTTACCAAACCCTATAAACCCTAAACCCTAAACCGCGAACCCCAAGCCCTCAACCCCAAAATAACCCTAGACCCTAAATCCGTGATCAACCAAATAATCTTAAGAAGCTCCCATTTGCAGCAAGGCGGCAGTAGTAGTCAAAGGCCTCGCATGGGGAAGCCGCCGGGACGAATCGTAGAGTATTCAAGGGAGCTCTAGGAGATTTTCCGGGAGTCGTATAGGGGCTTTAGGAGGGATTTTATAAGACTACAAGTCTACAGGGGATTCGGGAGTCTCGGGGGGGTCGCAGGACCGAAGGCATGTTTTAGTTGCCTGAATATCAAAGCAGCGGATTTGAGTCTAGTCATAGTCGCTCAGAAGGTCCAAGAAGGTGCCGGAACTGTCACAGGATATGATTATGAATATTGTGATGATGATGAAGATAAGAACTGCCATTGCTATGAACGTTTCTTTGTTTGATTCCTTGGCATGGTGGTGGTAGTGGTGGTGGTGGTGGTGGTGGTGGTGGTAGTAGTAGTAGCCGTAGCTCATGCTATTCTTCAAAGAATCTGTGCTACCGGTACCGAGGCTTCGGACCCAGGCCATGGGGTTGGGTGGCTTGCTTAAAGGATCATGGGATTAAGTAACTTAAAGGGCTCCTTAAGGGGCTCCTTAAGAGGGGATCTATAAGAGATCTATAGGGGGTTTAGGGTTTAAGGATCATGGGACTTAGTTATTGGGGTTATAAGTAAGGTAACTACAGATATAATTAGCTATACCCGAAATTAAGGTACTTCTAACCCTGGCTATTAAGTCCCATGATCCTCCGCGTGGGCTTTGGGGTTTACAGAGTTCAGGGCTTCGGGAATAGAGATTTGATACAGGCGTGATGGTTCGCAAGAGTGAGTTCTTGGGAGTCGTTGTTATCCGGCGCGTGGATTAGTTACTTCGCGACAATAGCCGGAAGAGAAACATGAGTAGAAACTTTCAGATGGTTCATAGATGTCTAGGGAGTTGTACGAGTTGAGTACGGCACTACATTATGTAGTAGAGCGGATCTGCAAGGTAATGTAAAGTCAAGCCCCCCAAAGCTATATACATATAGAGTCTGAAAACACTAAGTTGCTGAGTTCATAAGCCCCAGATAGTGTACATTTTGAGTTTTAAAGTGGTTCTAATACGATCCCCAAAAGTGTAAAGTGTATCCACTCAGCTACTAAGATTGTAGTATCCTTAAGGGAGGGGGGTCCAAGGGGGGTATATAGCCTAGTGATCCCTAATTCTCCCTAGTACTCCCTAAGGTTCCCTTACAGTCCCCTAAGGATTCCTTATACCCTCCCCCCTCCCTAAACCCTAAACCCTAAACCTTAAACCCTAAACCCTAAACCCTAAACCTTAAACCCTAAACCCTAAACCCTAAACCCTAAAACCCTAAACCCTATACCCTCCCCCCTTGAACCACCCTCCCTTAAGGATCCTAAAATAAGAAGAAGTGCTGGACCCTAAACCCTGAACCCTTAGGTCGAGTAACATCCATCTCAGGCGCCGCAGTTCTTGTGTCAAAGGGGAAAAGGAGGGACCCTTAATGGGGACCCCTGGGTCCCTATAATGGGCTATATAATGGGTATATAATGGCTATATTAAGGGTATATTACCTAGGGGTCCTTATTAAGGGTCCCTCCTGTTCCCCTTTGATTGTGGGCATGAATCATGTCAACTGGGTACTGCCCCCCATAGGAAAGTAACAGTCTATAATAGGGCTACCATTACGGGCTTAATATATCTGTATTATGAATACTATGCAACACAATAGGGCTACTCTTAAGGGCCTAATATATCTGTATTCTGAATATTATGCAACTTTTACTGAGAGTGGGGGGGGGGGAGTACCCGGAATGTCAATATAATGACTCATGATTAGAAAGGCGCTTTGGGGCACATTGTAACATGAAGGTTTAGGGCAATTGGGGTTTGGAACGAGATGCCGTTACAAGCAAACTGAGTATCAAATCCCAAGTAAAATCGGCCAGCAGCGGCTAGTAGGCAAGTGGAGTGAGCGCACCTGACAAAACCCCTCCACGTTCCAGCCCATTGGGGCCCCAACACGCAGCGACAACCGCCCAGCCAACGTTTCTCAGGTGGGCATCACACGTGTAACATTCGCCACCCGTGGCATAGACGTACTTGCCCCAGCTAGGGAAGGCTTCCAGGAAGATGCCCTCCCGGTGCACTGGATAGTCCGCTTTGGGCTCGACATACTGCTTGGGAAGCATGCCTCGGAGCCACAGGCACGGCTCAGGGTTTAGGGTTTAGGGTTTAGGGTTCCAGGAGCCATTTCGGTGCTTTCTTCGGTCATTGAGGTCATTTGCCTGCTTTGAGCAGGAAAGAAGGTGCTGGGCCGTCCTTATTATGAGGGTCCCTAAAGATTAAAGAAGGTACCGTTTTTTAGCTTAAAGAATATACCCGACCCCAGAACCCTAGTGTAGCACGGCCTGCCAACCATCCTCGCATTGCTCCTGTGGAGGTTCATAGGGATTCGAGAACTGGGGTTACTTAGTTGCTGAATCATAAGCCCCACAAAGTGTACAGTTTCAGTTTTATAGTGGGTAATATTATCACAAAAAGCGTAATAAAGTGTATCTACTAAGCTACTAAGGTTATAGGTGGCTATCGTCTTGGCTACTGATAGTTACCCCACTTAGGGCGTTTATAACCTCACCTACCAGGTCCCATGATCCTCCGAGCTGTCTTATTCCACCGAAAGCAATCAACAGCTCTTCAGCAAGGATCGAATGTGACCCTTTCGGGGCATTCTCGGGATTAGCTCCGCATACTGTCTGTAAGCCAGTTTCTCAAAGATTGCCATGCGGATTCACGGTGGGCCCAAACCGTCACACCCAATACCTCTACATTGGGATACGTTTAAGCCCTGTACTATATCACCTCCTGCAGCCCAAACCTTTCAGCTTAGTGACTTGGCGCCGGCGCAAACCCCGTTTGGAATGAGAGTGCCCCTGCTTCCTATTACTCATGTTTGAGGAAGGGGCCCTCAACATGGCAAAATGTCACTACACCCTAAATCCAAAAGTCCCCAAGGTCCAGGGCCTTAAACCCTAGGCTAGACGGCGCTCCAAGGCGACCGAGCTTATGCTGTTTCCTGGCGAGCTTCGCTGACTTTGACATGTAAGTGCATGCACAAACTGTAAGGCCTAATCATAGAGTAGGGTCCTGGGCGTACGACCATGATTAAGTAGGAACTTTAAGAGGTACTGCAACTACAACTCTCGTAAACCTGAATTGCTGGATAATGGGGAAAAGCAGAAACTCACACCGATGGGGGCCCGTGATGTCCATGCTGTGATCAGATCCTTACTACCGGGGTCTATGGTTAAGTGTTTCAGGCTTAGCGCTTACAAGGTCTAGTTGTATGATGGCCTAAAGGAAGCAGTCGAGCCTTGAAAAATGACCCGAAGCCCTATATAAACCCCAAACCCCGAAACCGTAAACGGCACGGTATGACTGACTAGCTTAAAAAGCTGAACATCCAAAACTCCGGACCCCCGAAATCAGGATCCTGGTATTTGAGGGCTTTGGGGCTCTAGGGCTCTAGGACTCTAGGTTTTAGGGTTTGGGTAGCGGTCTATTGGGCTTCAGGGATTAGGCTGTGGGGTCGGCAGTGAAAGGACGAGGGATTAAGGCCTGGAAGGTCTACTTAAAGGGCTGTGGGACTTAGTAGCTTAAGGGTTTAGGGTTTAAGGACCATGGGACTTAGTAATTGGGGTTATGAATAAAGTAGCTACAGTTATAAGTACTTATAGCCCCAATTAAGGTATTTATAAATACCCCTACTTAATCAATCCCATGATCCTCAAAGTACCGCCCGGAAGACCGAAAAGAAGACCCTGATCTCAAGAGCAAACAAGGAGGAACCAACAAAACCTAAACCCTAGACCTTGAACCGTAAGCTCTAAACATTCAAGTGTCAAGGAGAAAGCCCTAAACCCTAAAGAGTTATGGTATAACCTAAAAAGGAGAAAGTCCTAAACCCTAAAGAGCTGTTCTGTTAAAAAGCAACCATTGCAGTGAAGCCCCTACACTGCAAGAGACAGCGGCAGTCCTGCGCACCCTTTCTCTTACAACCGCCCACGGAAAGCAGGCATTCCTTCCGAGGTCGCTAGAGGGTCTCGGGTTCGGAGTGTGGGTTTAGGGTTTAGGGTTTAGGGTGTAGGGTGTAGGGTTTAGGGTTTAGGGTGTAGGGTTTAGGGTTTAGGGTTTCGGGTGTAGGGTTTAGGGTTTAGGGTTTAGGGTGTAGGGTTTAGGGTTTCGGGTTTAGGGTTTAGGATTTGGCTTTGTGGTGGGGACAAGCCTTCCCATTGGCTATCTCACCCAGAGGGTCCATACACACTACCATTATGGAATTAGGTCCCCAAAAACCATAATGAGGATGGTCTTCTGGTACCTATTTCCATCTGGGTTAGTATTTAAGGAACCCTAGGTATATCCCCTTAATAAAGCTAGTATATGCCTAGTATATAGCCCATTATAGGGTAGGAGTCCCCATTAAGGGTCCCTCCTTTTCCCCTTTGATTAAACTAAACCCTAAACCCTATAGATCCCTTTAAAAGGACCCTGATAGATCCCTTTAAAGGGACTCTGATAGATCCCTTTAAAGGAACCCTAAGAGCCTAAGGGTCCCTCCTTTTCTCTGCTCAGCAGCCTGAAACCTCAGCCATCCAAGCCCGACATCGCTGCACATGAACCACCCAGAGACTCTAATGTCCCTTAATTAAGAAATATACCTAACAGTTCCTTAAAAGGGCTCCTTAAAGGGATCAATAAGGGTTCTGTAAGGGAATTCATGAAGGGATATACCTTAAATTATAGTAGGATCCCTAATATGATTGAAGGAATATTCCTTAATTACGGGGTATTGGAGTCTCTGGACAGTGCTCAACAGTAACGTACTTTAGGACTTTGGGGGTTTATCGGGGGTAGCCCTGAACTCTAAAGGCTAAAATTGCGTTGGGATATGCTGGGATGGTTGGAGTAGCACAGCCGCTACATGTCCCATTCAGCTCTTTTTGAACCCTATAAACCCTAACCCTATTCAGCTCTATTCATTAGAAGCTGCCCCCACCCTGTAATAGTGACTATAAGGATTATACTAGGGTCCTATTATATTCCTATTATATCCCTATTATACCACTATTACAGGGTGGGGGCAGCTTCTAATCTATTCAGCTCTGTTTCCGCTGGAGACTTGCAGATGGTGATTGGCAGGTTGAACGAGGAGGGCGCATCGTACCTTGAGGGCTCTGGGCGCTGCGGGGTTTTGCCGAAAGGTTCCAAAAAGGAGTCTACTTGAAGGCTCATGGGACTTACTAAGTAAGCTTATAAGTAGGTTAAAAATTAGGATAATTAACCCCACTTAGGGGACTTATAACCCCAATTAATTATAACCTACTGACTAAGTCCCATGATCCTTTAAGTACCCTGATTCCGTGCGGACACTATCCAGGTTCTGCAGGGTTCAGCGCTTACTCTACAGGGTGAAGGCAGGCTCTTGCGTAATTACGGGGTTAAAGGTGTTGACAGGTGATGAAGGGCTCGCAGGGGTTTTGTAGGGAGTATCCCCTAACCCAAAGATCCCAATACCCCTTAATTAAGGAATATACTTTAAATCATAATATTAAGGCCCCTATAATTTAAGGTATATTCCTTAATTAAGGGGCATTGGGTTCTCTGGGAAACCCTAAACAGTTATATGGGTTTAGGAGCGTGCGCGAGGCTTCAGGGTTGACGGGATCTTCAATGGCTCCTCTAAGTTGCCCTTTCCTTACGTTAAGCCGGAATAACCTACCTTTTTAAGGGCTTATATAAGGAAATCATAAGAAGGAAGCCTAAAAAGGTAGGGTTTTCCGGCTTAAGGTAGTCATGATGGTGCCCTGTTTGCTGGTCTTCATTTTTAATAAACAAATTTAAGGAACCCTAAAAAGCAAAAAGGTTCTACAGGGGAACCTGTAACCTAACCTAGTCCTTCTGTTCACGAGTTCCGTGAGGTCTTGGGGCTTAGGGTTCAGGGTTTCGGGTTTTAGGGTTCGGAGGGTTGGATCTGGAGGTTAAGGGTCTTGGGTTTATGGGCTTCAACTTAATTCAGGCTTCCTACACACTAAATTACATGCACCCTGGCCCTAGCACTAGCTGAAACACTGATGCCTCACATCCCTTAGAAAGCTTACTGTATGGACTTTAGGTGTTGGGTCGTGTGAATCTTGATATAAAGCATAGTTCGAGGGGCACTACTCATATTCGCTGCTTGAAGGTTAGTGGGTTGACGTGAGGCTGTAACAAGTAGTCATTCGGATTAAGCACACTTAAAAATGTGCGTGCCTAACTTTTGACCCTAACTTAGAAATACTCGTGGCATTGTACTCTAAATTTATGCCAAGGTCAATTGCTACGATCCTAACGATAAACACTTTGTCTTGCCGGTTTTGGGGCTTGGGAATCAGCGATTTTGCCAAGCTTCGTGTCGGAAGTATTATGGCTCAGGGTTTAGGGTTGAGGAACGTGCATACAGCGTGCGCGGCGGGTGCACTTCACTTATCGAGCGCATGGGTCAGCATATAGTCCAACCCAGCCACCCAAACTCTTCTCAATTAGGGTTTATTTTGACTTAGGGTTTAGGGCTCAACCCCAAAACCCCCTTCTTGCTCTCTGCTTCCCTTCGCAGCTCTGCACAAAACGTGCGTTAGATGGACTGGTGTTGAGTTGTGTCCCGCGCAGCCTGTGCCGGCTGATCGAGGAAAAGCCTCGAACCCTGTGAAGGTCGTTCGGAAAGCCCCGCCCAAAACGGCCTTTGGCGCTTTGGGATGTGAGCACCGAAATCTCGACATTTTTTCCAGATCGGGCAATCGCCCCCTAATACCGGCCAAGGAGGTTTGTGGAGCCTTAGGAAAGCTGGGAGGCCGTGGCGGGTTTTGTCGGAAATTTGCCAGTTGGGGCCCTAGACCCCCCCCTGAAAGCACGCCCAGACCCCGGCAAGACCCAAAAAACATTGTGTTTCCCATGGTGCGGGGTTTGGGGTCCTTCTTTACCACCAAAGGTCGTGCGCAGGGCGCCGTCACTACAGTCTTCGGGTCTTACCCTCCCTCACCGTTCTATGTAGTTCAGACTACGAGCGTTTTGCAATTCGGAGCATCGTCGGCGCCTATCACAGGTACCGAGTACCAAATCAAAACGTGTTAAAATCCAAATTCCATACTCTGCATTGTCCGTGGTGGGAAAAGCCTGGAGCCTGAAAACTGAACCCTTGTGCCGAAACCTTGCCTTTGCTTAGTACTTGGAGGGGCAGGGGACTTAGTAAGTAGGTTATAAGTGGAGTTATAAGTACCCTAAATGGAGTTACCCCAATTATAACCCTACTTATAACCTACTTACTAAGTCCTCTGCCCTTCTCAGTAGGGAATGGAAGAATGGTAGTAATGGTAGCTATAATTGTACGCCATTCCTCCATTCCCTACTAACCCAAAATAAGCTTATGGTCCGTAAGAACCCTAACCCTGAACCCTGAACCCTAAGCCGTTGTGCCGAAACTGCTGCCAGGCGGCCAGGTACCATCTGCCCAGGGCTGCAACCCGAGGGAAACCGCTCCCTCCGCCTCGCAAATGAGTGGATCCGATTCAACGACAATGAGTAACGCAGGCCCTTGATTAGTACACCCTTTATTTTTCGAGCGCATGATTATCAAGACCCCTATCCTAATCCTCATTGTTGTTTATCATGTTTCTTCTTCTTCGGCTTATGATCAGCATTTTCAAACTGCTCAGCTCATGAAATCTTTAGTATGAGGGACGGAGGCGGTTATTAAACTGATCGTAATTGCTGCTGAAATGCAGACCTGGCTTTGAGGACAATCTCTAAACGGTTTCACATGAGTCAAAATCTTTTGAGTAGCCGGGTAACGCAGGTACAGGGCGATAATTTCAAAACGGACATGGGGGCCTCCAGAAACTACCCCAAGGCATATGCATGTAATTATTCCCGCTTTTTTGTTTGAGCTAAGCAGCTAAGCCCATGATTTCAAAATCTTTCAATCACTAGACTTATTGCAAAGAAATACTCAATATGACTTGTAAAACCTCTAGAAGCAGCTAAGATCAAGGGCCCTGCAAAATACAGAGGCCTCAGCAATTACCTACATGATTCCTTTGGGTTCCTTACAAATATATACCGCATACTTTGCACCAAAATCCCATTCTAATAAATAAGGCCCCTGCATTAACATGTAGCCCCGACTAAGTTAGCATTCTCGAATCCTCCTAATTAGCTCTTTTCAACTTCTTTCTAAGTCCCCCGACCCTCCCAGTAATCACCAAACTGATAACATACTATAATACACTATGATATGGTATAATACACTATAACATACTGTAACATACTCCCCAGACTGTTCCCGGCCTTCTCAGCATTCCGCCGGGCAGCCAGCGACTTCCGCCTGCAAGGCGGGTCAGCACCGCGAGGGTTCAGGCTTTATGGGCTTACCCAGAGAACCCAATACCCAGACCCCCGGGAGGATTCTAGAAAGTAGATCCCCTAATTTGGGGCCTTATACTACTAAGGGTTCAGGCTTCATGGGCTTACCGCAGTGATTGAAGTTCTTATCCCAGTTTTAAAGTGCATTGGTTACTTCAGGTCGCCTATGAACCTACATGTGTGAGGAAACACAAGAGCAAACCAATCATCTTTAGGAACCTCCCAAAAGGGTAGATTGTTTGCGCTGCAGGAATGATTATATAAGGCGATTAAGGTTAGAGTCAGAGGTTCTAAGGCTTCGGGGTTCGGCGTTTAAGGGCTTAAGGTCTAATTAGGGTCTTATCTGCAAGTGCCCTGTGAAGTCCAACTTCAGGCATCATGGGGTGCAGCAAGCATTGTAGCAACAACCAAGAATAGCCAGCCCAAAATAACAAAAAATAATAGGTTGTGTGCCCATCAAGCACCGTTCTTCAGCACTGGAGTGGCGATACGGCGTGATGCTGACCCCTCATGACATCCCGTCAACAAGACTATAAGGGTGTGCTTGTTCCCAGCCGCTGTGGCCAGAAGACCATCCCACTCGAGAGGTCTTAATAATTAGAATTTTCACAATGAGGTTGTGGGGAACCCGATACTATAGTTCTAGTATAAGGAACCCTAACGTATAGTATATGGGGGTTTCCGAAAATAGGGGACCCTAACATAGTACCCTAAATAGTAGGATCCTTATTAGAAGGACCCAAAATAAGGTACCCCGAATTTTCGGAAACTCCCATATTACACCAGGCCGCCGAGTTGCGTGATTTGCGGCTTAGGGTCTCTTGCTTGGGCGAGTGCCTCGTGATCTATAGGGATCAGGATGAAGCGGTCATCGCCGGTCTGGACTACACCCTTCGGCTTAGGGCTCTGGGTGCCCAAACGCCCCCACAACCCCGACAGTGCAAGCCCCAAACCGTTTTCCTGAAAGATGCTTCGCAGCTTCAAGGACTGTCGAACAGTAAAGGGTTTAGGGTTTAGGAAGGGGCCACTGCTCAATACGTGGGCGATTCACGCCCTTAATGCAAGAGCTTGAAACGCAGCCGCTGAACCTAAATCCGAAACCCACTTTGGACTGTCGGGGGTTGGTTCTTGGCCTCTGCGACATCACCCAGGCAAGTGGCGCCTTCCTCATTACCTGCTTTCAGGTTCAAAGTCTAGGAATGTCTAGGATTAGGCGTTTAGGGGTTCAGGGGAACTCAAAAGCTAAGCTGGTACCTGACCACTGCGCCCGTGGAGGACCATGCCATTCTTAATTGTCGGCTTGGATGTGCAAGCGACAGCTCAAGACGTCCACACCATCGTCTCGCAGACGTTGCAGTGAGGAAGGAGCTGGTTGCATTGGTGGGAGTCCTTCCTGACGTCTGCCTCTGCAATCGAGAGCATGACAGTGTGGCCGTGCAAGATCCTGTTACTTGCATACGGGGTCTCGAGAAGCCTTGGAAAGATTGTGCTCTCATCGCACTGCATCTTGGAAGTGCAAATTTGCCCTGATCCATCCCGTCAAGGAGGCATGTCAGGTCCAGAGACCGTTGCCTGCAGCACCCTCGTGCGCCCCAGTAGACAACTCCATCATCAAACTGAGCTTTCAACTGATGATGGTACATCAACTGCTGATTAAGGTTGCATTTGGTGTTGTACGGATCACATGTCATTGCCTGAACATGTTACCCGATTAGTTTGGAGTGCGGGGCAGCTTGTCATTGCCTTCACGGTTGTTGCTGTTGGGAGAGTTGTTTGAGTGCAAAGGAATCGTAAATCCTAACCCTGGACCCTGAAATCTGGACCAAGCATTCAGGTTTGAATGTGCCCTCTCGAACAAGGATGCAGTGTACAGGCGACCTACTCGTGGAAACTCCACACCAGAATACACGCGCAAGGTTCGGGGCCCGTGGCACCGAAGCACTAAACACTAAACCCTGTTCCTTAAATCCGGAACCCGGCCCAAATCCTAAACCCTATGAGTCCTGTTCCCTACCCGAAACCCGAAACACCTACCTTACTTCGGGCTGCTCGTACTTAGTATGGTTTCCATAATATATAGTTCCTTAAAGGAGGTAGGTTTGTTGGGCCACAGGTAGCCCACGAGCCCTAAAGCCTTTGAGTTTTAAGTACCTTTAACCCTGAACTATAAACCCTAAACCCGATTATGGTTTCCACGTGTAGTTCCACAAAAATGGTAGGTTTGTCAGGCCCCCAGTGGCCATGAACCCGAAACTCCGAAACCCTCTTAGTTTTATGCCCCCCTTACCTACTCGTCGGGTATCATGGGGAACTAAAGGTTAACCTTTCAGATTATATAGGGATTATATAGGGACTATACTACCCAAAAAAGGTTAAAAGGTTGCCTACTCTACTGCGAGGCTTAACTTAACCCTGAACCCTAAACCCAAGCTTAAGAATTCCCGGTTTCGGGTTAAGGGAGTTGGGGGAAGCTCCAGACCCTACACCCTACACTCTATACTCTGAAGGTTAAACCCTAAGCCCCATAAGCCCACTACCCAGAGATCCCAATACCCCTTAATTGAGGAATATACCATAAATGATATATCATATTAAGGCCCCTATAATTTAAGGCATATTCCGTAATTGAGGGGTATTGGGTTCTCTGGGTAAGGTTCTATCAACTGAAAGCCCTCGAACCCAGCCAAGGGAAGGGTTTCGGGAAGCTGGGAGCCTCGACTCTGGGATAGGTCTGGCTAGTATACTTGGATACCCAGTAACCTAAGAACAAAAAGGCCTCTCTTTTTGGTATTGGGTAACTTTATAAGGAACCTAGGACTACAAAAAAGGAATATACAGTAGAAGCCAGAAAGTTGGAATATCATTATCGTAACCCCTTTAAGGTAAATTATAGCGTATCCCACCCTGAAACCATATTCCAACTTTCTGGAGTTCCCTTTAGGAGGGTTTAGGGTTTAGGGGTTTAAAAGGACTTGGGTTTATGGTTTAGGGACTTCGGGTTTAGGGTTTGGGGGTTTAGGGTATAGGAACTTGGGGGTATGTTACGTACCCTGTGCCTCCAGGGACCTTATTGCTGGGCAGGCCGAGGCAATGAGGTCTGTGGAAGCATAAGGTTAGAGTACGTTGCAATATGTAGGAACCTGATTCAGAAATCTTGGGCCTTATTAGGGTTCCTTATATGAACTCTCTTATTTTGGGGTTACAGGCCCCGGGTTTCCTAATCAGGTTCCTACATGATTTGTAACAAGGAGCCCAAAGTTATTCCGGCTTCCACGCCACCTCTAGTTTTAGGGTTTAGGCGGTTTAGGGTTCAAATAGCTTTAGTTGCTACCTTGCGCGGCAAACACGACACATACCACTTAGGGAAGAGCCGGCACATCGAAACGGCGACCCCATCCGCCCATGCCTAGCAGCCCGTCTCGCATCCTTGCAGGAACTGACCCTACTGCACCTCACGGAAGTTGAAGTTCATGCAAGCGCGGCTTTCGTCGCCGCCTTCGCATGAGTTTCGTAAAAGAACTCCCAACGGCGCTGAAGTAGAGCCCTTGTGGCCCTTAATCGTGGGCATTTGGGGTACAATACAGGGTAGGTGGGGGGTCTGGGCAAAGGACACCTTTTGGAGATTTCGATGGTGCTGGAGAGTTTTGAACGGATGTATAAAGTTCTGGGGTAGTCAAAACCCCGCGGCCCCAACCCTCTCACGCTCCTTGTTCGACTCCGTGATGTAACCTCCTGACCCTCATCCCTCGATACCGTAAGTCCGAAACGATGAACCACTGAACGACTAACAACAGCATAAACCCGAAACGTCCCTAAGCCATGCCTAGAATCCTAGAATCCCAGAGGCTCAAAACGACACATATGTTAAACGTAAGCTGGGGTTTTCGGCTTTAGGGCTTGAAAGCACTTACAGGGCCAGGGGTGCTGAACCCCAAAAACCGTGAGGGGCCTCAACAGTCGGGGCCTTCATCACAGGGTATCTAGTATCAAGTACCTGAATCCATGAGGTTGTTATAATAGTGATCTGCCTCCGCTGAAGATCTCTAAAACCCGAGTTCTCCTGAGTCTTCCTCCCTCTATCCGCAAGTCGTAACGGGACGCTCAGGGTTTTGGGGTTTAGCGGCAAAGTTTAAGGTTTAGGCTGCAGTACCGTAGATTTATTTTGCTCTGGACCCCAACCACAAACTCTAAATTATGGACACCTCAACCTTGTAACGCCTTGAAGGCCCCCCCTCTTTCACCCAAAAACAAGAAACACATCCCCAAGCCTTTCACAAAAACTCTCCTGAACTCATTTAAAGGCCCCCGTGCCCCAAACCCCTAAACCTTAAATCCTAAACCTTTTTGTAGGGTCCCTATCAATTCCATAATTGGGCCTTAAAATAAGAACAGGTTATGGTAATTTAAGGTAAACCCCAAACCAGATCCCAGAACATCCCTAAACCCTAAACCCTAAACCCTAAACCGCTAACCCTAAACCCTAAACCTTCAACCCTGAACCTTACACCAAACCCTAAACATCCGGGTCAAGGGGCCGAAGTTGTTGGGTTCCCCTCGGGCCCAATGCTCGTAGATGAGTGTTGACCTGGGCATCGGGTGATCTCGGGGGCTTGAGAACCTTATGGCTTGTAATAGAGCTTAGGGTTACTTGGAGGATCATGGGACTTAGTAAGTAGGGTTACAAGTACCATTATCGGGGCTATAAGAAGTTACATCTGCAGTTGCTTTACTTATAACCCCCAATTACTAAGTCTCATGCTCCTTTAAGTAGGGTTTTCGGCATGGAGCATCGTTGAAGGCTTCAGTTTTTTGTCGTGTCTTTAAGGCCTTTGTCGGAAGCCGCAAAGGAAGACAGGTTTAGGTCTGGGCTTAAGGTTTTTGGGGTCTGTGCTTCTTGTTTGCAGTGTTTAGTGCTTTTGAGTTTTAGGTATGGGGCTTAAGGCATGAAAAGTTTGTGCGTTTCTTGCTTAGGTGTTTAGTGCTTCTTGTGTCTTACTGGCTTATGGGGCCTAGGGTTCAAGGGCTGCGGCTATACAAGGGCTTCAGGGCTTTGTTTGAAGGCTCTCTCCCCCTGTCTCCCCGCATGCAGTCCCGGCCTCCACTTCCGGCTCCTCGTGAGGGTCCTTCCAATTCTGGTCCCGCTCGTTTTTTTTTGTGCTTTTGTTCTAGCCCTTTCTCTCCGCTCTCTGCATCCGGCCTCGTCCTCCTTCACCTCAGGGACCACCGCGGGCTTGCTCTCCTTGCAGGTGCTGTCGTCCGCTAAGTTCGTCTTACCCCGACATCGAAAGCACCCAATTGCTGAGGCCAGGTCATCGACCTTGTCCTTCCAGGTTCTGTCTTCTGTTCGTCATCTCTCTCTTTAACTACCCCCCCTACCCTTTATTGAACCCCCCCCACTTGCTGAGGCCACGTCCGCGGGCTTGTGCTTCTTGTCCTTCCAGGTGCCGTCTTCTATTCGTTAACCAACTCTCGGTTTCTCGTTCTATCCAACCCCTCCCTCCCGCTCTCTGCCCTTCTCTCGCCCTCTCTCTCTCTCTCTCTCTCTCTCTCTCAGTCTCTCTCTCTCTCTCTCTCTCTCTATCCGTATCTCTCTCTCTCTCCCTTCCAAGCCATAATCCTGGAGTCATCACTAGAATTGCTCTCATTCTCTCGCCTCTCTGTCTCGGTCTCCCGGCGGCGCTACAAGCAGATTCGTTTATGCCGTTTGTTGTGATTCTCTCCTCCTCCCTCTCCAGTTTTCCCACATTCCCCATCTTTCCCTCGCTTACAGTCTCTCTCTCCGCAAAGTCCTCCGCCTTCTCGCCGACCTGCCAAGAAAGGGGTTCACCACTGCAAAAAAACACGACACGCGCTCAGTCCGAAACGTCCCTCTCGGCTTTCTTCAGCAACCTCAGCATGTACCCACATCTTTGCGTGAACGGTTGCGGAGAGCAGACTAAGCCAAAGGCTTCTTCCAGCAGTGCCGCGTGACCGGCAATGTGATGGATCGCCTGTTGCCTGCGATTAAGCAAATCACAACCGAGGGTCACGAACATGAGATACCAAGTCCGCCACGCGTCGTCAGAAAGGTCACGAAGTGATCGGACTGGCACATGCCGACACGCACACGACGAGACAACACGATCACCAGAAAGGAAACAGGACCTGGATCCCCTTCAAGCGGGCATTGTGAAAGGCCTGACACGAACGCAACAACACCTCCTTACAGGTCACATCAGATCTACCGCTATACCCTCCGCCTCCTTCTCCTCCGCCTTCCTCTTCTGCAAAGCCTCCCGCTTCTCGACCATGTCGCGATCCCGCTTTTCCATCGCCTGAACAAATGCGTCTGTTTAGAACACTCAAAACACCAACAGCAACAAAACAAAAGCCAACGACAGAGCCGAGAGCCCCACGCAATCCCAGCACAGGTGCGTCTTGGAGCGCGCGGAGGTTTAGTTGGAGCAGAAAGCGAACTCAGTGGACAGAAAAAAAAAACAACTGCACTCACCCGCCCCCCCTGCTCCCCCCCCCACCCACCCCACCCTCCTGCACCGGCCCACCCCTTCCGAACCCGTCCCCGTCCCGCTCAGAATCCAACATTCAGGCATTGCCACTTCTCCCAGGACTCGTGCTGGCCCGGCTCCTTCATCTCCTCCGCTTCAGCCAGGCACACGCCTCGAGGGTTGGTGTTACGGATCTGGTTGTGAGAGCTTGGACCCTGCAGCAAGAGTGCAAAGAGTAACGGTAATGGCGCTTGAACATCAACTTGAAATCTAACCCTAAAGCCAGGAGGCACGAGACCCAGACTAGATCGCCTGCAACAGCCTAGATCTGCTCGGCGTGGCCGGCGTTGGGTCAACGACGGTAATGCTTGACCTGTCTTCGCCGACGATGGCCACATGGGACAACAGTCTCTTGGTCTCACGCAGCAGGAAGTTGCAGTCGCTGCCAGAAGCCGGGTAGAGAACAGAAATCAAGGAGACAGACAGAGGTGCGTCCAAAGCTTGACGGTGCACGGGTCTTCAGCATCATCAAGCACTCTTTCGGCAATCGGGTTTACGGTTGAGGATTCCAGGGCTTTAGGGATTGAGGGTCCCGGGATTATTTATGACTCCCAGTGGGTCCTTCAACGCACATACCCCGTCTATGGTACAGGAACCGCCAGCAACGCATTCGCGCGACCTCTTGAGCTGCCACTAGCACTGCCGCCACCGCTACCGCTACCACTACCACTACCACTACCACTCATCTAAAACTACTAAAACTACTACTACTACTACT